TCATCAGATGCCTCGCCGACTGGCGTGGGCGATCATGCCTCTCCCCAATCTGCAATCTCCTGCAGCATGTATCAGTTCGTGTGCTGACACACCTCCATGCCATGCACACAGATTGTCTAGAATCTTCTCTCGTTGTCTTTTCCTATCCCTCCTTCCACAGATCTTTGCAGTGGTCACATGTTCCATTGTTCCTCCTCTCATAACATGACTGAAACATGATGACTGTCTCCTTCTGATGTGTGTGATAAGGTGTTTTTGGGCTCCTGCCTCTCTCAAAACCTCTTGGTTGCTCTTTTTAGTTGTCTACGGTATTTGAAGCATTTTTCTGTAAAACCACTTCTCTCAGGCCTCGAGAAATTGTTTGGCCTGCCTACCGATTGTCAAGGACTCACAGCCATATGTTGAAACTAGATGTATGAAGCAAGAAAGAATTCTTTTTCTAACCCTCAATGATAAGATGTTATTCATTTTATAAGATGCAGTATTTGCCTGTACTATTCTGTTTCTTATCACAGTAATACATACTCCATCGGATGTTGTCCATGATTATCACCCTACAAAATATTTTTGGAATTGTGCTAGAAAAGATTCTTGCTGTTAAATAACGAATGTTTTGGGAAGGGGAAGAGCTCTTCCAAAAAGGTTTGGGTAGTTGCCGGCCGAGGAAAGATACGTGGTCAAATGCAGCAATTTTCTGCCCAGGTGTTTCAAGGATCCCAGAAAAGACTGGAGCTAGTAGCGGCAGCACTTCATCTTGAGGGTGCCTACAGTAGAGTTAGGTATGATAATCTAAATTTGCCCTAATGGAGAGGGGGGATGAGGGGGGGGGGGGTGGTTCCTGGTTGGTGAACTGAATATCAGCTCTCCTGTATTCACGTATGAGAGATGACAGATATCCCAATAATATGCATGCGATACATACTTGCACTGCCTACTGTTGCAGATAAGCTTAGTGTGCTGCTAGCAAAGTCATATCTCAGAGTAGCTGCAGACATGAAACACCTCCTGCATCAAGCCCTGTGTAAAGATAAGTGTCACCGACTGAAAAGGACAAGCTCTTAGATGGTGCCAGAAAAAGACACCTTTAATGTAGGCTTGATAAATTTGGGCGAGGAAAGGAGTGCGTTAAAGTGTCCGAGCAAATATCAGATTTGTGTATGGTTCTTTTCACGTTAGGTCATGAGTGTCGGGACTTGCCAGCTGGTACTGCAGAATCAGAAGTTCAACAAATGATTCATGAATATTCCCGCCCAGACGATGTGATTATCTATACAGATGACTCTGTGTTGAAGGGCTGACGAAGTGCGTGGGGGTTCACAGCAAAAGAGAATCGACGTCGCTTACAGCAACAAAACCCGACATTTCATATCACAACTTGTAGTTTGAGAATTGAGGTGGAGGCAGTCAGGGCTGCCTTCTGCAGGCTTGAGAATCAGATGTACACACATGTCGCAATTTATATAGCATGTTGAGAACGGTGTAGAAAGGCACACTCCGTGCAGAGTGGCAAGCATCACTTCAGAGACCCTGGATAGTCAGCGTCTTTTTTATATTTATTACAGGAATGCCGGTGTGTTGGGAAAGGAGAACGTAGATAGACTGGCCGGTTCTGCACCACTTGGTGATGGGCTCATGTATAACAGGCTTGATGTCGTGACAGTCTTTTGTGAGCTTGTGAACAGTGCGGAGGCGCCAAGAAATCATTACAGTCTGAGGAGAATGGCGCTGCGGGGAGTTACCAGGGATCTGGCCGGCGCTCAATACTCAAAGGGAAAGGGTGAAACCAATATACAATAAGACAATTACTGGTGCTATCAGATTTAAAACTCTTAGCTTACTGCTGAAGATGAGGACGGGACACGTATCCGAGTGTTGTGATGTCCCTTCCTAATTCAAAATTTAACATTCAGCTTTTGAAGTTTATTGTGAAATAGGATAGGCGACAGTGTCTCATCACATATATGGTCCTTAATAGCCTGCATCAAAAAGAATGGTTTTATTATCACTGGATACAGCGATTTATCATTTACTATCTATGTAATTATTTCTTCCTCTGTCTACATCTATCCTCCTAGATACAGTGACAAATAATCTGCCGTTCCCCGTTTCTTTCATTTCTGCCAGTGCTTCAACTATTTCCGCCAGATACAGTGTTTTATCATCTATTATCTTTCTACCCATTACAGCCACAGACTAAATCTATTCAAGCTAGATAAGCCATGTATCATCCACTTGTTATTTGTATTTTTTAAAATTATAATAATTATCATGATACCACACCATCCAGCTTAAGAATGGAAGTAGAGGTCGACACTGCAGTTTTCCGCTGGTAAGAGAACACGACACACACGCATATCGTGATTGTGTGTGAATCAGAAAACATGTTGAGGAAGTTGAGGACAGACCTGCAGAGTACCATGCTTCGCTTTGAAGATCACAGGTGAGGAGTATTGTCTTAATGTTTTCTCAGGAATGCTGGATTGCTGGGAAATGAACTGTCAGTCTGAGTGGCACTGCACAGCATGGTGAAATACTGATGCATGATAAGACAGACGTGGTTAGGGCCTTGTAGGAGAGCGTGTACAATTCAGAAGAGCTATGCATCACCGCAGTCTGGTGAGACTGATACAACGGGGAGTGAAGAGAGGATAAGGTCAACACTCGACGCTCAGAAGAAAGGCAAAGCAAACGTATCATCAGAGTGATGTTGGCAAGATGGGTATTGGAACTCAACGCTAGCTGCTGAAGATGGGGATGGAGCGCTTTTGGGTATGCCCTGAGTTCTGTGCTGTCGGTTCTTGCACCAGTTCAACTCGACTAAACTAATTGTATTTATTTGACTGTTTGCAAGTTGTACAACATATATTCATGTAAAACGATATAGTTACTTTCCAATTCCAACTTTAGAAGAACTAAAAGTATCGCACCACCTGACGAGCATGCCCTGGTACCAGCTACCACAGAAAGCCCCGTTAGAGAAATATAAAGAACACAGAGAAAGTTGAAGATACGCAAGCAATTCAGCCACATCATCAGGATCAACCTAGCAGCAATGAATACTAACTTGTACAAGGCATTGGAAAAAGCACACAAACGATCCTTACATCTCCCTCAACACCTCGCTGAGGTAACTGGTGTAAGAGAAGCAGATGAAGGGAAGTATCGCAAGCGTCACTATATACCACAATTCAGTATATCAGTAAACTGACACGAAGAACGATTTGACTGTGTCATGTGGCAATTCAGACGCATTGTACAAATAGTTTTGTGAAAGCTTAATTAGTGTCAGTAAATTTATTATACTGTTCTTGTCCATTATTTAACTACTGTTTCTCAGCGTAATTTTCTCCTTGTTTGTCTTCAACTTTACGTGTTCGCCACACTGTCTGAGAGAGATCATTGTCTATTTACTGTCTCCAAATGTCATGGCTGGTAACCCCCACGCGGACGATATCAGCATGTTTTATCGTGTGACTGTTCAGATCATGACAAGTGTATCATACATTGTCTGTGGCAGTAGCCTGTGTTTCTGTGGCTAGTATCAGATATCATGCCAATTTGACATGTTCAAGACAATCAGCTTGTTAAAAATCTGTGGTATTTGCCATTTATGTCTGTCACACAGAATATTAGACCAGGAGAGGACATATTGTCATAGTATTGTCAGTAACTTTGGCTTTTCAACGACTGTCGCGTTTCACACACATCCCAGGACTGTAATAACAGTATCAGTTCTTTTACATTCAAGTCATCGTCTGTGGCGTAAATGTTGACAAGGATATTCGCAATTCTGAGTTGCTGGGTTCGATTCCATCAGTGTGAGATTTGACAACAGAATGATCTACACTCCTATCGACAATGGTATCAAGAGCTAACAGTTCAGTGGGCACGCCATGTAGCGTGGCATTCCCTAGTGCAATCTCAAGTGGCCAGCAAGTGATGGGACTTGTCCTGCAATGCTGTGTACAGGATTAGCAACTTTAATTTCCGTATCTGGTTGAAAAACATTCAAAACTTGAACTCAAATATACCAGCTTTTATCGGGAAGTGACCACAGACCAGCTGTCTCAACATGCTAGAGGAGTAATAACATACGTAGTTTTTTAGAGTTAAAAAATACCATATCACAGTAAACAATGACGTATATACTTCGTCAATGGAATAATCTTACTGAGTGAGACAGACAGTGATGGTCTCTGAAACATGTCGGTTGTAAATACGTTGAAGTGTGGTCCCAAGTTCCCTCACTGCTGCAGTCACACTTGAAGGAATACACCTATAATTATTCGGATTGAATGTTGAATGTTGGGTCAAGACTCGACATCACAACACTTGGGATACACCCATATGTGCTCAGTCCCAATCTTCAGCAGCAAGAGAAGAGTACCAATTCCTTTGGTACCAGTAACCATCTGATTATCTCTGAGTGTTATTCGGATTTAACTGTGGCTATATTGTACCATAAACCGACTGCCAACATAAGAAAAACTCCACATGTGAGCAAGCGCAGCAAAAGCAGCTACAGACCATCAGTAGGATGGTCCCTTGTCGCAAATTGTTTTGGCCCGATATCCTAGACCAGTGATTCCCAAACTGTGTGCGGCGGCGCTCCGGGAAGCCGCGACCTCTTTACAGGGGTGCAACAAAATAATTAAAGATACACAAGTTTTTTATTTTTTTTTAAATCTCTGACATACGAATAGTGATACTTTTACTTAGATTAGTGCGTCGTGAAAAAATGGTAACTAAAAACAGGCACCGCGACGAAGAAATGTTTGAGAAACACTGTCCTAGACAGTTTCAGTGGGCGTGTGGGTCAGACTCCGGTTCTCTTGCTGCGTTTAACAGACAGTGAGCAGACGAAAAGGCTACTTTGCCAGAGATCATGTGAGATTAGGTGTTATATATATGTGTCGCTGCGGCAGCAAATTGGCCGTCTACCTTTACGACCAGAGTGGCAAGCTTACGGTTGGTTCATCGCAAAAGTGTATGAATGTATGATGAATGCAACACTCAAAGAAATAATAAATGTAAATGCAAGTACAGTTTCCAATGAAACACATGCATGTGTTATACACAGCAATTTTGGCATGTATATTGTATTTATTACATTAATCATTAGTTCACTATCGATCATTGAATGTATGGTTGTGATTTTTGTGACATGGTTTACAGTAACGTTGCACAGCAACACCAATATTTTGGTTGCATCTTTAGCAGTTAATGATTTGTTGTTGGCAATAGCATTTATGGGAAATCAGGTATCAGTTGTACCAGGTTTCCTTTTGCCTTCAGTTAAATCAAAGTTGTTCATGTCTTTAATATATGGTGTCAGTTCTGGATCAACCAAACTTTCTATTATGCACATGATGGTGATAGCTGTGGATCGATATATTCAAATAGCCCATCCGTTTTACTACATGAAGGCGATGACAAAGAAGAAGATTTACGTAATTCTTATATGTTTATGGATCACTTGTCTCATATTTATCATTATTCCAGTAACGATCTTCTACAATGACAAGTATTACAGAGAGTGTATTATATTACATCAACCATTAGCGTACTCTGTTGTGGGAGTAGCTATGTATTTTATAAGTCTTATCATGATATTTTTTTGTTACTTTAAAATCGCCCATGTGGCTTTCAAACACAAGCAGTCAGCCATTTCTCGGAGACTTGGCTGTAATTTAGCACAATCTGAAACTGAACAGAGAGAAAATATGAAAGCAGCGTTAAGGAGTGTTAAATATTTGGCTCTTATGTTTGGCGTCTTCTTTGTTGCTACATGCCCACCATTCTTATTGACAAGTCTTGGCTATAGATATAGCTTCTCGGAGAACGTCTATTTGGGGTTGTTCTCTCTAGTACCCATCCATTCAGTCATCAACTTTCTTATCTACGGGTACATGAATCAAGAATTCCAAACATCTCTTGTCAAAAAATGGTCAGCCATCAAACGTTACTGCAGCAAATGTAGATTCTAGTGAGAATCTAATATCTAAACACTTCTTCGTGGCGAACAAAAACTGATAATCTATCACCCAGGTTCATAATGATGGTTTTCTTCAATGGGTCTTCAATGTTATGATTCCCCCAATATGGTTATACTTGTGTCGGCCTCTTTATGTTAACTAATCTCAAGTCGCATTGATCTCTGGTATTTTATTAGCTTTTCCCTAATTTCACTTGATTAAATATCAAGAACAAACTAACCAAAATTATTTAACATTTACACTAACTTTATTAACAGGTAATGAATCATTTTCTCATTGTCAAAGAACGTTCTAATCATTTTTATAAATCAGTAAACAAATATACAGACATTATATGCTTTAATTCTATCGAGTACGAAGTATAATGCATGCGTCAACAGATCAAGTAGTGAATAACACAAGCGTATAAGTTGGCTGAAGCGTGCCAGATGATAAAAGCATGATTTGTGTGTGGAAAATTCGAGAACCCAAGAGGGAAAAAGGCTATTTGAACTTGAAGCGAATTAGAAGATTTAGTCTTGTTTTCGATGTTGAGAAAGTCTGGTCGTATGGCGCTTGAAGAACGAAATGTGAGTGAATTTTTTGAGTGTATAAATGTGATAATCGAGGAGCAGAAAAAGCTGATTAGCTTCATACAAATGGCTGAGCTGGCGTCTGCTATAAGATTCGTGTTTCTGCTTAAGTGTACGTTTGATAGCTCTTGAAGTGTCTAGGCTTAGAAGTGTTGTCTTTGGTTATCATTTGAAGGGAACACAAATATCGTTGATGCTTTTGTATGTGGATGGGCCCCACACCCCCTCCCTCTTTAGACGTGTATACGTGTGGTGCATTGACGGAGGCAAATAGTTGTTGAAGCAACAACAACAAAATAAACATTTCGTTTCTGCTGTGTGGCATATCTGACGTTTCTTGTTCGTATTGAAGATTATGTTGCACTGTCATTCAGTATGCCCAATCAGGCTGCATGCGACTAGAGCGCAAGGAGAGTTGTTGGAATGTTACTTTTGTTATTATATTCTCGAGAATCGGCTGGCAGAACGCTGGACTCTCAAGCTGGAAACCCGTGTTCGAATCCTCGCTAAGGCTGGGGATTTTTTTCGGTCGGGGGCACACACAAATTTCACTTGCACAGTCGTGGCGACAACACTAGCCATGCGGCTGTATATCCTCAGGCTCAAAGACTCCCCTGCCTACACCGCACAAGTGGTATAATAAGGGCAGTAATTGGCAGTTGTATTTTATTCTCTGACCCCAGTAATCGACTTCCGTAATCGTTTGTTAGCCGCGAAGTAAATAAGAAAATCTCCAAGAGAGTTTAAACAATTGACCAGCATTTGAATATTCAGTATAACAACCTTGAGTGGCACTTCTTGTTCTAGTGGTTTAATCTCTACAATGTGCATGACAGCAAACCCAAATCCGTAACATAAAACATACAGGAGACAAATCTTTAGTAAAGTTTTAGTTGTCTTCGTTGTGCCGTGCTTAGTTCTGTCTTTGATTTGAATGTAGGTCAACCGTTGGCGTTTTTTGGTGATGTGAATGATCTTGAAGCCGATAACTACAGAGCCCACAGGTATCAAACACAGAGGCACTATTCCTGTGATGTAATTAAATGTATGCTCTAACAGTTGAAACAGACCGCTGCTAACATGACTTCTCCACATCTCACTGTTGATAATTATGGCGGTAGTGACACCTTTTATGACGTATCTCTTCAGCTGCAAAGTTAATACCTCGTGATATAGACAATATATTCCAGTTATAAGATAGAAACAAAGCAGGACCATGATTGTACGCCGTGGAGTCAAAATCCTATACGCACTGAATGGACAAACTATGGCTAATATTCGTTCCCCTGTTATTAGAACAGGGATGAGCGGACCAAAGATTAATCCCATTTTATAAGCATATTCACACATTATATACAGTATATAGCACAAGTAATTGATAGCTTCAGAGAACTGAAATCCTGCAGGATGCTTGCTAGCGTATATCTGATCAAAAATATTGTTGATCCCAAACAAGAAAAAAATATTGGAGACAGACAATGACAAGAGAAGTATATTAGAACATTTCCGGAAACCCTGCCGAGTCAGCATAACAATGCTGGTCACGTTGCCGGATATTCCCAACACGCCGATACAAGGAAAGAGAACTTGGCGAAATATGAGAACTATCGTGAGTGCTAGTTCCGTGCTGAGGATTAGTGGACCTGACGTGTCATTGTTCATCGGCGACAACACGGTCGTGTGAGCTAACATGTTCCCTGTGTGTGATGATGTTTACACAGCTGAAGGCTGATTCGAAATGTGTATTATTTATAAATTTCTGCACACACGTGTTTTATTTATCATTTTCAACAACACAGCCGTTTGGGCTCACATGTTCATTATGTGTGTGATGATGTTTACAGAACTGAAGTTGGCTGAATTATTGCTTAGTTTGGCGTTGCTCTCCCAATTTACACTATTAAACGCTAGCTCACCTCTGACTGGTCGACCTGGAGCCTAGATCATTTCTGATTGGTCAACCTCAAGCCACGCAACCTTGGCACAAAGTTACAGGAGTGTTCCACAATGCCGTTGATATCGCGTGTTGTATATTTCAGTATACCAGTGCTTTTAACACTCCAAAAACATTGACAAACTGAGTCTAATATAAAACCTCTTTAGAAAGTAATGAAACCTATGTCACAGGAATTCTTTTTCTCTGATTAAAAAGACAATCCAGAAAGCAAACAACAAAGCGACACACACGTAACCTACAGGAAAGTAGACCAGTCCAACAAATTTGTCAGTGGAACGTGACCTACTTTTCTGGGGAGTCTTAAGTCGAAGAAACTCAATTATTTACTCATTTCTGCACATATAGGTGTCTTTTGTAATGTGAATTAGCAACAAGCCACGTCTACTGTGGTAACGCAACCGGTTCCCATTGTAATATGACCATATGCTTATATTTATAAGACATTTGACTGTCCACCAGAATCCAACTTTCTCCTATCAAAGTGGATGTTGTGTTGAGACCCTTGAGATCCCTATAGTGTCAGTCTATATAGCTCTTGCAACTGCTTTTTGTATTTACTGTTTGTTCATATTTCTGGACTGCTCCAAGACTAATTGTTTCTGCACCGGTTTTTCAAATGCGACAGTGAGGGATTTAACAAATGACCTTGGCTCACTACACTCAGAGAAAAGGCAGGAAAGACATACAGCCAGATTGTGACCGGTGCCATTAGTATTAGAAATTTGCGCTGGCAGCTGAAGATGAAGACGGAGCACGCATTGGAATGGCCCGAGTGCTGTGTTTCAATTCTTAACTCAGCTTGACTTAACTAAAAAGGACCTTGACTCCCAGGTCGACCCAGCCTTGAGTGGGTACCCGGTGCAGTCCTGGGAAGTAAAATCGGCCAGCGTGATGCTGATCACACCACCAAAAGTGCCGATTGTTCTATAAAAATGAAGGTTTAGCCTCATATTCACAATACGCCTAAAGGCGTGCTAGGGACATTTCATTTAATTGTCACTGACACATACAAGGAGCAAGTACGGGGAAACCCGACTACAGTGAAGTTGATTGAAACCTCGATTAGACTAAAACTAAAGCCATGTTAACATGGACAAGTGTTTCTTCAGATTTATTCAACAGCCAAGTTTGGCTTCTCACATAAAATAAGAGTATGAACTGAATTTTTCGACATTTATTTATATTTTGAAGATTTCATTTTGGATTAGTAAAAGAAAATAATGACTTTATATGCAAATGTTTTTTGTTGTATTAGTGATCAAATGAAAGCGAAGTTCGATCCCAAAATGCACTTATGTTTGATCTACAGGTAATTTACAATTACCTGTTTTGTAAATAATGTAAACATTTTACGAAAAAACAGTTGATTGTCGGTTCATATGATTTATCTGAGATGAAAGAGAAAAAAAAGACAACCAAAATGTATATACGTAATTATGATTTTATTTCAGCAAGTTTTTAGTACCCGAAATTATGTTTTAAAATGTCTAATTACTGTTTTTCTTTAGAAAGGATAATTCTCATTCTTTTAGAAGCCTACTCAATCTAGATAATTTCATGTTAACTCCAATAAAAAAAAAAAAAAAAAAAAAAAAATTGCCCCTATTTCAGAGATCATAAAGGGTAAGATGTCTTTGACTCACTGTATGTGCAAACATTTAATTCTTGTTTTGTAATAGCTGATGTTTCTAGACACAAAGTGGGTCAAATTGTCTGCCTCCCATAATTGTGTTTTTCTCCAACTGGAGAACATTTTATTGAACGGCTTGTGTCTTGGAGACAGTCCCGGATTGGTTGAACGATTGGTCTTATCCCCGCCTTTCCTTGAAGTGATGTCTGTCACACTATGTTTTATATTATGTATGCACAAGTGCGTACACATGCATACAGAGGACTGCGTGGTCTCAAGGCACAGTGTCAGCCTCAAGTGTTAAAGGTTCCGGGTTTAATCCCCGGTAAGGGAATTTTTTTTTTTCACGTAGACGGACTTCTAGTAATTCCCCCTGGTCTTTGGCTAGTGAGATCAGACGCCGGTGTGCATTGTTGCGCACATAAAAAAATCCTTTGGCAGTTGGAAATCGAAAAGAGTAGCCTAACGGCACTGCCCGGGCAAAATTTAGAGTTAAAAATCTAAGTATTTCAGGATACTCGCTTCTTCTGACTCAGTTGAGTTTGAAAAAGAACGGAGCAATTACGGGTTACACCCGTATGCCATGATGCCGATTCGTTGTTCAAACTACAGAACCTCAAACCTCACACACAGTTTCACTCAGTCACACATACTGGCGCACACACACTCACACAGTTTCACCCAGTCACACATACTGGCGCACACATACTCACACAGTTTCACCCAGTCACACATACTGGCGCACACATACTCACACAGTTTCACTCAGTCACACATACAGGCGCACACATACTCAAACAGTTTCACTCAGTCACACATACAGGCGCATACA